CCAGCACAGGCACAGGCACAGGGACAGGGCATGCAAAGAGGGAAGGTGCTGGCCTGAAAGCCCTCGTTTAACTTCTGTCCTGCTTCTGGCATTCCATCTTCATGTGGACCAAGAGTACCCATCCTGTCCTGCCACTGTCTTGCACCACCCTTTGAGTCACTTGCTTGACCAACTCTGTAGTCACTGGCTGCAAAACAGCAGGGAATGCTCCCCTGGCACTCAGGGTTGTTGTGGGGACTGAAAAGCGTGGGCTAGGTTATTTCATTGGTGGTGGCCATGGCAATTCTTCCATCCCCAAGCTTGGGCACACGAAGTCCAAAGGCCTGGAGTGCCCTACGCAGTTTTTCAAAGGATTGACTCCTGTCACTGTTAGGGAGTGAAGCTGAATCCAAAGCTGCGTTCTATAGGTGTCTGGTGTTCAACCTGACCAGTTCCCTGGAGCCAGGGCCTCTTTTCTTTTCCAAGCATCTGCTTCCCTGGACTGAGCAAGAGAGTGTTGTTCTGTGATTATTTTGGCATTAGAATGTCATTAAATTCCCTGACACTTGATTGGTCGTCTCAAGTGTAAATTGAAGATGCTCCTGCCCTGCACTCAATGTTCCTCGCTGCAGTGGCAGTGCCAGCCCCTGGCAAGGCAGCAGGAACCCCACGCTACGGCATTCCTGTGGCTCAGCTCCTCCCCAGTTGCCACCCAGATGAGCTTGTGCCATCTGGTGTCATGGGGACGTGTGAAGAGCTATTTAGGAATTCCCTGTCAAATGCTCGACACCATCTCAAAGGGCATTGTTCATGTCTTCAGAGAAAGACTGCCTAAGTCTATGCTGAGGAAACTTGTAGAGACAGAATCCTATGCCTTTACACTTAGAGGGCACAGTCTATGGAGGAGCAATCCTGCAACTTGGCATAATTTTTCCTTCTGGCTTATGATAAATATTTATCCACTACTTAGATTATCTTTACTGAACTGCTGGCCCCTTCTGCCTGTTGGCCTTGCTGCCTTTGCCCAGCTTCTCTCTCCACCTGCACTGCCCATTCTCCTCTTGTCCTTCCAAGAAATTCTCCTCTTCCTTTGGGGCTCGATGTGGGGATTCACCCTCGTGCCTTCCTGCCCTGGCTCCCCGACTTCCTCTCTGGCCAGGTTTTTTCTCCCTCTCATCTTATTTGCCTCTGTATTGTCCTTACTTTATTATCTTGTTTACTATTTTGTGCTGGCGACACAGCTATTACCACCAGACCTAGTGGGTACACAGACACGTGCCTTGAAGTTGGGCCCCCACCTGATGCCGGTCAGCATCAAGGCCACTGGAGCCCCTTGCCCTGAGAGGAGCAGGGGCTGTCAGGAACTGGTTCTTGGCGGGACATACAAGGTTGTGAATGTTGAAGGAGTCACCTTCTGGACACATGGGATGGCCACAAAAGGCAGTTACCTCCAGGTAACCCAGTCCTCATATAGCTCTTGATTTAGACTATGAAGATTACAGTACCTAACTGGGTGGGGGCCCTCCTCTTCGTGCACTTGTGATTGTGTGTATGTGTGTCTGGGTAGAGAAAGAGTGAGAGAGGAGAGAACTGTAATATATGGTCACTTCAATTGTAACTTACTAGCCAATTTGGTCTTTAAAAATAATCTTCTTCACCCAAATGAGTTACTATATCTTCCTAAAGTATTTTTGCAATTTATACTAAAACAGAGTTATCCAACCCTGTAAGAAGGATTGTTTTCACTTAAAGGGTGACAGACTGAGAATTATGGATAAGCATCAGTGAAAGGGTGTATTAGTCAGTTAGGGCTGCCGTGCAGAGTTCCAGAGACTGCGTGGCTCACACAACAGGAATTTATTGTTCTCAGTTCTGGAGGCTGGAAGTCTGTGATCTTGGTGCAGACTTAGCCTCCAGACCTGTAGATGCCGTCATCCCGTGTCTTCACATGGTCTACCCCGGTGGGTTTCTGTGTCCTGATTGTCTAAGAACACCTTGGATTAGAGCCCACCCCACAGTGACCTCATTTTAACTTAATCACCTTATTGATGACCCTGTCTCCACTTACACTCACAGTCTGAGGTCCGGGGGGTTAGAACGGCAACAGATGAATTGAGGGGACACAGTTTACAGTTCAGCCCATAAAGAGGAGGACACCCAGAAGTTTCAGGAGGGAGTGGAGCATCTTCCCTGTTTGTATTTATTTTAATAGTTTTTTAAAAAAACGCTTTTAATCAGGAAAGACAGTGTGTCTTTTTTATATTACCCAGTTTAGGAGTGGCAGAACTTAAATGCACTTGTGATACACAGATGTCGCTTCCACCTGATTAAGAACCACTATAGCAGACGCAGACTTACTGGACTCTAGGCAGGAGGCCAGCTCTGCAGACAGAGCAGCTCTCAGGAAGACAGTCCAGGCATGGCTGCTGATGCTCCTTTATGGGTGTGTTTATTGTCTTAGCCCACATTAGATGCGAGGGACCACTCATACTGCAAGTGACAGCTCCTGGCTCAGTCATACTTGCTTTTAACTGGCAGCTCCCCAACAATACAGAGATTGTCATTTTTAGTCCTGACTTTCCAATTCCATTTTGGATATGCTACCCTGGCCAGAAGCCTCTGGGTGTGCCCTTACTTTGACCTTTCACCAGTGCATTCCATCTTGGGGGGCTTTCTCTAATCGCTTCAAACTCCCTCCTGACCCCTTACACCACCCCAAAACCAAAGGCCCTGGTTTAGGAGCTGAATTGTAGCAGCCGCTCCTCACGTATCTAGATCGCAGGGAGATTTCACTGGAGCTGGCTGAAGCTGTTGGCGCTTTGAGCAGCACTGAGCCGTCAGTCTTAGTTCTGCGTCTTCGCCCCACTGCAGCTTTTGGCCACTTGCCCCAGTTTAGTGTCACCAGGCCCTGACCATAAGCCGCAGTAATTTTTATGGCTGCAGGTATTAAGAGGGCAGCCAGTCTGCAGAGGTAGGGGCTGCCCATCCTCCAGCTGTCTTTTGCAGTACGGGCATACGCTTCAAGCCAACAGCAGCTCCAGCCGGCCGTGCCAGCTGTCAAATGCTTTCTGGGCTGGCACAGCTCTTTGAATCCGTGGTAATGGCTTCCTCTGTTGAATGTCGTCCAAAAGCAATTGCTTGTCAACTTAAAAGCGTGTGCCATGTTGTCATGCCCGCCGTCTGAGAGGGCAGGCATCCCCGCACCCTTGCAGACTGCGATGCTTTAGCATCTTCTCACGAGTCAGAGATTGGGTGTAACTTTTGCCAAAATTTCCTGCATTTTCCCCACCCTGTCCAGCATGTCTTTGAACACCCCATATCCTTTTACATTTGAGATGAAAGCGGAACTCTAAAAACTTGGAAAGATTCTCTCGTGAGGTGACTTCTACTTAAGCTTGGTCACAGCCTCCTGCTGTCCTCCAAGAGTGGACAGAAGATTTCTTCCCTTGGACGCTGCCAGTGCTGGAATATGAAACTTAGCAAGTGTCAGCAGTTGGAGTCTGCCCTTCACGTTGACACAGCCCCCTCATTGGTGTCCTGTTGACTGTGGACACCCAGTCAGCCCCATGTTCTGGCCACACCGAGCATGGCAATGACAGCAGGTTGGCACAAAACTTCCCTGCCTGGATTGATTATTTAGCCCATCATAGCATACACTTTCTTCATTTTAGTAAGTTGTGGTTTTATTTTGAATAAGTTTCTTTCAACCTATTAATATTAGTCTACACTAAAATTAACCTTCCCCTAAATTATTCTCACACACAGGCAGCAAAGTAATTTTGAAAGTTAAATCAAAACAAAGCAATCTTGTGTGTAAAACAGATAAAAATCACAGACTGTGGTTACAGAGTGCCTCTACAGGAATCGCTTACATAAAGCTGATTTCCTCCAATCTTGTTATGGAAGGAAAAGGGGAAATGCCCTGGCCTTATCACAATCCCATTCTGTCAAACAAGCGAGGCAGAGCTTGTGTAAACAGTGGAGCTGCAGCTGCAGCTGGTGTCTGTGGGGGCTGTTCGGGGTCTGAGGGGACAGTTGTCTCAGCCTGATTCATGGCCGGTGGTTCCCGCGGTGGTGTGTTGGAGGCATCCCCCACTCAGTGAGAAGGGGGTTTGTGGAGAGACAGTCACGTAGCCCAGTCTCGTGTGGATTAGTCATTAAGAAATGTCCAGGGCAGATTTCAGACTTGAATGGCGAACCAGGTTGGTAGCTCATGGCGTTGAGGTTGATGTGTTGTGTTGCCGCCGCCTTTGGCAACTTTGAATTTATACCTTGCACTTACCCACAAGATGGATTAGAACCTGAAAGTGGGCGCTGTGGAAGACCTGAGGACCCTGAAAGCATTGAATAAGCTGGTGATTTCCTTTTGAACAGTTCCTCAGCTTGTAACAAACATAGGCTGGTCACTGGCACAGAGGCTTTTTATGTTCTGGATTGCTCTTTCCTCCGCACACCGAGAGGGTAGGAGGATGGGGGTTGACAGTGCCTGTGTCTGTGACCATGGGCACCCCTCTGGGTCCCAGTGTTTATCGTAGCCAAGCAGCCAGAGGCACAGTGGTGCATCACTGCACGACTTTGCTTAGCTTCTTAGGGCAGATTACTCCACATCACTGGTTTCTCAAATAAATTACAGCTACCAGAAATTCACCCCTGAGGGAATCTGCAGCATATTTGAATGTCAATTAACTTGGGTGGTAAGATAGTTGCTTTACCTCCTCTTTGAGTTTTTCAAACATTCTTTTGGGTGCTTTTTTTTTTTTTTTTTTTTTTTTTCTATTTTAAGGAGTAAATCATTGGTATGCCTGCCCTTTATGTAGGGATGTCTTCCCCTTTGCAGGGAAATGAAAACAAGTTTTCTTCACAGTCTCAGGGAGGAATCGTGCTTTGTGATACAGTGCTCGTGAAGAGGTGCCTTTCATAGTGTTTAAGCTGGGATTGGTTGTTCACTTAAATATGGGCTCCCTCCCCTCCCCACTCCCAAATTAGGGAGAAACTAAGAAGCTTTCCTTTTGTTGTTTCAGGTATTTTTGAATAATTACCAAGCAGCCGAAGACCACCCACAAATGGTTATCTTACGACTGTTGCGTTACATTGTCCGCCTGGTGTGGAGAATGCATTGACAGGTTCTTTGCGGAGCCGAGAGACGTGCAGACATTTTGCTTGTTCGAACCAACAAGCCCCAGCACCGCGGTCTCCTGGTGCCATTATCATGCAGCCAGCGGTTCTCTGGTGGAGGGGCAGGTGACGTGTTCAGAAGACACCGAGCTGGATGGGAACTTGACCTTTCTGTTCATCACCACACAGCAGAATTTCTAATGGAAGTTTCTTGTGAATGTAAAGGAGGGAGCATTCTTTGCTTTTTAATGTACAAACCATGGTTTTTTGGAACAGGATTTTGTGTAAGAATGGTGTTTACATGCAGTGTGTTTTCCCCATCACCTTTAATAAGGTTTTTCAAAAAGGAAATGGAAACTTTTTAATCAATTGTGAATAATTTTTGTATTAAAATTTTAAGAACCTATGGCCTATTCTCAGAGGATTATGTAAAGCCTGCAGTGGAAACTGAGCCAGCTAACTTAAAAAGCTGCCTTAGTTTATTTTTAGAGATTACAGAATTTTTAAACAGGGAGAGGTGTGATATACTCCCTCCCTTCCCTACTATTGCCTCTTTGACCTTTTAAAATTATTTTTATTAATACCAAAAGAGTTCTTTTGAAATGGAACTGATTAAAAGGGCAGAGGGTCTGTTGTCACCTGCATTGATATGCCAGTCCCATTTGTAAATATTTACGTACCTTTATAAATTCAGTTGCATCTGTGGCAAAATTTCAGACTATTTTTCCGTCTTTCCTCATCACTTTTTGTGATGTATCTCCAGTCTGGACTCAGATTCATAGATTTGATCCAGTGTATTTTCATGATAAAGTGAAACTGAGTCAGAACAAGAGTTAATATCCGCCTGTATCTTGCACAGTTCGAGTGATCTGTTATTAACTGGGAAGCATTTGGTGTTGGTTTTCATTCCATTTTGATGAGTATGTTATTGGGAAGTATTCTGAAGAGGCAATAGCAGTAATAGCAACAGACCTAAGTGCTACGCCCCTTTGTGCTGCTGGCTTTTCTGGTTGCAGGCTTTCCCATGTTCACAGGATGCACTGTCAGCATCAGGTCCCAGAGGGCCACCGTGTCCATTACAGCAGAGTCCAGCTGCAGCATCCAGCTCACGCCTTCATGGGAATGGGCACAGGCCTGGGACAGGGCTTCTGATGGCCATTTGCTTGGCCTCCTGCATTTTAGTCCTCCTGCATTCAGTCCACTGGCCCCACTCCTTTAAATTCACTTTGAAACATAGGCTTCATCCCACTTCCACCAGCACCATAGAAGAATTCTTCTAGGCAGAAGTCTGTGTTTTTCGTTCTTCCAGGACAGTTGGATATTGTCAGGCCACTCGTGCCCCCAGCCCTGTAGTGAGGGTGCTCTTTCTCTGTGCCTGCTCCTTGTGAGTGCAATGGAAGGAAACCACACACTGGTCAGTCGTTTCAGAGGCAGCAGACACCCAGGGAGACACAGGAAAGAGTCAGGTTAGGGAGCAGTGAAATTGAGGAGGGAAGACAATTTTGTGAACTCTGTAACTCTTAAAATTTTTGAAAACTCCAATCATTAAACAGCTTTTAAAAGAAATAAGTAAATCTTCAAATGAATCAGCAGTGCCAGCAACTAGTGTTTTGCCCAATAGAAGAGCCAGAATGTTCACATTATTTAAATTAGGTGGAAAAATCTAAACACTTGTATCTTCATAATTTAAAATATATATATATACACACATACACACACACACACACACATATATATATATGTATTGCATATTCACTTTTTCCTTTAGATGGAGATGATTTAATTCCAAATATTCTTTCTTTAAATAATTTCGTTTCCCCAAGAATCTCCTTGGGACTTTGACTTATTTTTAAAGCTGTGTTGGAGCTCAACTTGTTCCCTAATGTGTCTCGAGCCCATTTGTAGGGTTACACAAAGCCCACGGTTATAAGCGGTGGTAGGATTGCAGCCGCGGGCCTGCTGGACACACACACACACACCAAAGATGTATTTGGTTCTGGGCGCCCCCTCCCAGAATCCCTGTACTCATGTGCCAGTCTCCTGACTAGAGCACTTTACTCTGTTTCCTCAGCTCTGCAGCCCCTGGGAGCACACACTGGGTGCAGCCCTGGGCCGGGCACCGGGGGCCCTGTCCTGCGCTGCCCAGGGGCTGTGTTCAACACACGAGCACGTTTCTCCTCTGGCCTGGTGGCCTCCAGGCTGGATGTGGAAACAGTTCCTGAGGAAATTAGAGATTCTATGAATTGTAGGAGTATTAAAGAACAGGCTGTTGGCACCAGAACTTAAAGCGATGACTGGATGGCTCTGTACTGTATGTATCTGGTTATCAAGATTCCTCTGCAGAAAGTATGCCTCCCGTGGGTATACGTTTTTACCTTTTTTAAAACACGTTTTTGTAGAAAAAATAATTAAATCCCCTTTTTGGAAACTTAATGCAGGTTTTGTGCCTTGACAACCTCCCCCCATGTGAGGTTTGTAAAAAGTGTCCTGTGACTTAACACAGAAACACAATAAACACACACAAAATAGCTTCATGAGTGATTCTTCAGATGTCCTTCCCAGAAACCAGTTGATGAAGAATGTTGGGGGTGGGGGTTGTGGAGAAATCAAGTTTAAAATTCCTTCTGATTAAAAAATATAGTGGAATACAGTTGTCTGCCGTTCCCCTTCTTAATGTATATATTGTGAGTATTTATTAGATTAGTAGGTCATATTTTACTTATCAACTGAGCCAAATGTCTGTGTGCAATTGTGTTTCCTTTACCTTTCTTGTAAAATTTTGTACAGCATAAATGAGTAAAAAAATCACTGTTTTTCTAAACTTCTTCGGAATCAAGGATTGTAAATATTGTAGATTCTTTTTCTGTGTGATGTGTCCTACTGTTTCATAATGCTGTAACTTGTAGAAATATTGTATATTTATTTTCTGCTTATTTAATGTCTTAATTTCTGAAAAGTATTAACATCCCTGTCTCCCACACCCCTGCCATTCCATGAAGTTACCTCCTGAGAGGTGTAGGGGGTGACTGGAGAGCTCATTGCAGACCACATGGTCCTCCAGGGTGGCTCTCCAGCTTTGGGTCCTGGTATTTCCAGTCAAGTGGGTTTCAATTCTTGGGCTTTGCCGCCCTTATGATGAAGTGTGTGTTTGATGCCAGTGAGAAACTCAGTCTGGCAGGCTACAAAATTCTACTCCAAGAAATACCCAGCAACCTTCTGTTTGTTCCAAAGCAGCTAGCTTCTCATGCAAGCAAATTTTGCTGACTCCAGGCTTTATCTTTAGGAAAACAAAAAAACCAAAGTATTAGCAGGTGGGAAAGATTTTTCTACTGAAAATGTATCCCTGACAACTCAGTGTTTAGAAAAAAGTTAAAATGTGCCACTTCCGGAGGTGCTGCATTGCAGTTGTTCAGGGCTAGGGCCGGGCAAGACCAGGGGACGGGTGGGACAGGTGGCTCCTGCCTCAGGACCACCTCCGGCCACTAACCCCTTGTGGACAACTGTGAGTGGTTGGGTTTTCCCCCACCTGCTGTGCGACTTCCTGTGCTTGAGGCTGGACTAAATTGTCTTCAGGAGCTAATTTTAATTAACTGTACAGCCCTCCCCACGCCCCACCCATTTGGTCACCGCATTTGGTCAGTCTGCTTCTTCAGGTCAATGCCCTCCTGATTCTCCATCTCCTTCAGGGGAGGTTGGGGCCCCACTGGACTGGGTGTCAAGATGTGAAAGCTCGTGGAAGCTTTAAGGAGACTTCATGGTGGTTCCATGCAGGTGGTTCTGCCATCCCTGCTGATTTATCCTGGTTCCTGTGTGTGTGTACTCACATGTGGAGGGCGGGGGGAACGTGGGGTCTACTTTAAACAGCATTGTGTGTAAGAAGCATCCTCAAGCTCCCAGCTAAGTAACTTGACTACTTTTATTTGGGAATTTCGGACCATAGAAGCTCTCTCATGTTTTATGTTCAGATTCTGTGACCACTAGTTACTGTATCAGAACTCTTCAGGTACCCACTTATAAATAGCACTGATCTGTTTGTATACTGATCCATCACTAACCTGTTTTCTAGGACCCAGCATATGTAGCATTTGTATTGCAGTTTCCCTGGCTTACTTGTGTTTTGCACTGATGAATTTTGACAGGGTAATTGCCACTTTACTTGTGCAATACTGCTGTAAATAACTGCAGATTTTTAAAGAATCTTTTATGTTAATTTTATAAAAATAAAACTTACAACTAGTTTTGGTGAGCTGTTTGATTTGTTTGCACAAAATGTCAGAGAAACAGCTGAAATTATATATGAACATGTACATGCCCACACATCTGCTGTTACCAGTCATAAAATGTAGCCGTGTGTAGCTCATATATTTTTGCTTGAAGACGAATCTGTTCAGTACATTTAAAAGCAAACCAGTCTTTAAAGTTTTGATGTGGCTGGTGCGACTGCTAGCAAAGTATTCTGCCTGCACAGTCAGATATGACTCAGCCTTGGGTGGGGAATTGTGGGGGCAGGGAAGTGTACCAGAAGCCAACTCCTGATGAGTGATAGGGCAGGTGCCCTGCCATCTTACCCCATTCACCCCATAGTAGAAAGTGCTTGTCTGCAGCACCTGCTCAGAGTCCAAGGGGTCACCCAAACATGCCTAGACCCTGGGTGTGAAATGACCAGGAACCAGTAAGTTCCCAGCTCCTGTCATGCAGGGTGGATGGGAATTGCCTTAGGAATGAGTGAAAGAAATTAAAGCCTGGTTTGGGGATACAGGTGATAAAATCCTAATAAGTAAGTACTTAATTTGGCACTTTACCCTATAGTGCTGGGAAAGTGAAGGACAGACTCAGCTTTGTTTTAGACTAATAATCTGTTAATGCTTTCAATCAGGTGAGCAATACACGAATATGGTCTTGAATATTTATTTCAAATTGTATTTGTTTCACATCAAATTGTTCTGTCTTAATCCTACCTCCTCATTGAGGTAGGAGTTTGCATTTTTCCGGACCCTTAATCTGCAGTGTGTGTGTGTGTGTATGTGTGTGTGTACTTACACAGCAATTTTGCTTTTCTGTGAGTCCCATAGCTCTATATATGGTTCTGACTTAGCAATAGGTCACATATCTTTCCATAGTGACTCCACTTCATGCTAACTACTGCAGCAAGCGCTAGAGCACAGGCATAGAGTTTGCTCATGGGTATCCCCTCTTGTGGTACAGGGAGGTGGCAGATCAGCCTCAACAGACCCTGGAAGACACTGTCAAAGTGGGAGCTCCACTTCACACGGCCCCCTGGCAGCATGTAAGAACACCCACCTACCCCCAGTGCTGTCAGACATGAGTGAGCTGGTGTCTGCCTGCTGGGTGAGGAGCAAGTGGTGCTTATTTGAATTTTTCTATCAGTGCAGTAGGATGATCTTTTCAGGCATTGGTGGCATTTGCCTGTTTTTCTAAAAGCTTTTGCTAATTTTGGGTTGAGTATTTTTTCTATTGATGATTAGCTCTTTATACATTCTGGACAAAAAAATCTCTTGTATGTTGGAAATACTTTTCCTTCAATCTGTTGCCTTTTTTCCCCAACCTTTTATTATGAAAACTTTCAAATATTCAGAAAAGTCAAAAGAGTTTTACAGAGAACACCCATGCACTCACTACCTAGCTTCTACTTTTACTTTTACTACTTTTGCATTATAATGTATTCATCTATTAATCCGGCTTATTTTTTGGTGCATTTCAAAGTAAGTTGTAGTCACCAGTACTCATCCCCAAATACTTCAGCATCATTTAGAGTTCATTAATTTTTTTATAATTTTTTCTCCAAAGATAAAATTCGCATAAAGTAAAACATACAAATCCTATGTGTGCATTTGCTAAATTTTGACCAAGGATACAGCTGTCTCTCAAATCCTTGTCAAGATAAAGAATACTACCGTAACTTCCAGAAAGTTACCTCCTTTCCAGGTAATCCCTCCTCTCCTGCCCCCATCGGTAACTTCTGTTCTGAGGTTCTTTTCCATCATAAATTAGTTTTACCTCTTCCTGAACTTCATATTAATGGAACCATACAGTATATGGTCTTTTGTGTTGTGTCTGGTTTCTTTTGCTCAGAATATGAGATCCACGTTACAATTATCAGTAATTTCTTCCTTTTCATTACTGAGTCGTAGTCTATTGTGTGAACAAACCAAGCTTTTGTCTATTGTCTTATTAATGAACACCTGAGTTCTTACCAGTTTGGGGCTATGATGAATAAATCTGCTGTGAATACTCTCATACAAAGCACATGAGTCTTTTTCTGCGAACATATGTTTTTAGCCTGCTGCATGTTTTTTAATTGCTTGTGGTGTAGTTTATGTAGAAGTTGTCATCTTAGAAGTCAGATTTATCAATCTTGCTTAGGTTTCTGTATTTTGTATCTTGTTTAAGACAACTTCTGTATGCCAAAGTTTTAAATATATTTTCTTATGTTTTATTCATATAACCAGTACAGTTTGGGCTTTTTTTTTTTTCACCTTAATCCACCTGGAATTGATTTTTTTAGTGATCCACAGTGTGAGTCTGACAATTTTTTTTTTTTTTTTACTATTGCTCTTATATTTTATTGAATGCTGGTTTTTTTCCTCTATTTTTTAGTATTTGCATGGTGAGAATGAATTCATTTAATTGATTTTAATTTTAAATATACAAATGCAAATTGTACATAGCAAAATGAAAGGAATTTTTAGTTCATTAGATTCTGTGTCATTGTATTGTACTGAATTTTCTCCTAATTTAGTAATTCTGAGGATGACCCACAACCCATCTTTTCTCAAACTCAAATACAGACATTACCCAAGACGCATTAATCAGAAACAATGACGTTTTTGTCTGGTTTGTATTTTCTTCTAGATGTCAAATTGACATGTAGGGATTAACATATCCACAAAACAAACTTTATCAAATGAGGCTGCCCATTTCTATGTTCTGTCCTCTCTAATACATTATTTACATTTTGCTTTATTGATTTTTATTTAGAATAATACTTTCAGTAGTGGTGGTGGCCTGTATGTACATGTATGTACATGCATGTGCTAAATGTACACTTTTAATTACATATATGACTTATATAATTATATAATTTATATAACTTAAATTTAATAATTATATTATTTATATAATTATATAACGATTTATATTTTATAAAGCTAATATAATTTATATTATATACTATAATTTATAAAATTTATATATAATACATTTTTATATAATATAAATATTATTAATACTAATAAATATTTCAAATGCTTTAAAATATTTGAAATAACCTGCATTTAGAATTAGACTTAGATATCTAACCCTTATATAGGATTAGGCTTGGATATCCCAGGCATCCAAGTATAATCCTATATACAGGTTACATATTCAAATATTTTGAAGCATTACTTTGATTTTTACAACTCTGGTTAACTCTTCCTTTCTATGAGAGGATATGATGTAACCATTTTTACCCCACAGACAGCCAGCACTGTTGTCTTTTTGTCCACCAGCCTAAATTGATCCTTTGACAATATACCAAATTCTCATACATACGGTTCTATATCTCAACTCTTGCCTTTTTCATTGATCCTTTTGTTTAATCTACATTATTTTAATTACAAAAGTTTTATCATCTGTTTTGAATTTCTTGTCTTTATTTTTCAAAATCATCGTGGCTCTTTTACACTGTTTTTATGTGCATCTTAGAATTAGTTGAAGCTTTTCAGAAAGTTCTTTGGAAGTCTCATTTAGGATTACAATGACTCTTGATTTAGGGAAGAATTGCCATTTTTCCAGAAGTTTTCCAAGATGTATAATATTTTTATCCGTCGATTATGTTTGGTTTTGGATGCTTTTAGTACACGTGATTTTTCTTCCTACCAATCCTGCACATTTCCTATTTGCTTTTTCTGGGAAAGAAGGGAGGATGCCTCGCATCCAGGCCTTATCTCCACCACAGTTTCCCTTTGTGTGCCTGCCTCCCACTGCCCCTGGCACCTCTGAAGCTTTCTCTCCCTGCCCGAGGTATCGCTGAGGGCAGGCCTGTGGCCTAATGCTTGGGTGATAAAACGCTCTTCCCAGCACTTTGACTCTGGAGCAAGCAAGGCAAGGAGGGGCCATTTGGAGGGCAGCGTCCTTGAAGCTGCAGAGCATGTTTGTGTTTTTGGCCACAGTAACCGGCCCCAGCCACCAGCACCCTGGGGTCCCTTCTCTGAGCTGCCTGCTGGACTATGCAATAGGCGCCCACCTTCCAGCATGTTCTCCTTGTGCTAAATTGGCCAGGGCTGGTTTCTGTCACTGGGAGCCAAAGCGGTGACTCATTCCTACCTGTCAGAAGGACCGAATACAAAGGTTGGATGAAGTCTCTTTAAGCAAGATGAATTAGAAGGTGTGGGGTGATGGGCTCATAGTGAAAATCTCCCCTGGCGAGACCAGAATGGGGTGTTAGGAGATGGGAAATAGCGAGGCAAAAGGTGGTCTCTAATCTTTTTGGGTAAATTCTACCACTTGCTGTTTTTTGTGTGTGTGTGTATTTTTTTTTTTTCCCTGGAAACTCTTATCTTTCCTGAAGCAACCCCTAAGTCCTTAGAAGACTGTATTACCAAGGAGAAGATATATTATAGAATGTTGAAGGCCTTTATTTCTGGGCATGTTATAGAATGATTATGTGTATTACAGAAAAGGACCCAGGAAGGCATGATTATAATAACCACTCAGGCTCCATACAGTAGATTTGGGAAGAGTTAGTCCTTACAATAACCCTTTATCTAATCGCTAAACAAGATCAAACTTGGCCCACCACTCTTAAAAGACACCATCAAGATGTCATGTTTCATTGCAGATATCAGAGAGCTTATGCAATCCCATTACAAATATATTTTAGGTGGTCATTTTCCTAAAATCTTAATCTGAGTATTAAGGTCCCACCATATACTAGACACACAAGAGAATATCAAAATGCATAAAACCAGGGCATGGTAAACAGGCCGTGTTCTTCAAGGTCTCACAATCAGTAAGCGAAAAGACCACAGTAAAATTCTCTAGCGCAATTCCCAGGGAAAGAGCTGTTTCAGGAGCTTAGAGAAGTGAGAGTGGTGGGCCTACGGCTCCATGGGGTGTCTCACCCACTTCCCCTTCATCTCAGGGTCCCCTATAACGATGCCTATAATGACGGCTAACCTAGGTACTTGCTACGTGTGAAGCGCGGTTCAAAGCATCTCATAATCCATTTTCATCT